GATAAATCTCCCCAGATCTATTCAACGGCTGTGAAGATTCTAAACTAACACGAGTCTCATATGTGTCCAGTTTAAGGGTATTACACAGAAACACACCATAATARHATGAAYCAAATATGTACTTTATTCATTTACATTAAATGTCATAATGTACATCATTCTGATTGGAGCTAAGAGCATACATTGTCTAACATAGAATTGAGCTGGTCCTACATTAGTTGGTATTAAAGCCAAGGTTATAGGCTGTTATCATCATGGACACACGTAGTGGCAAGCAATATAGGGGTCGGCTGACTGATACACAAAGAGATTCACTGATTTCTACCCTTTGCAAGAGAGTCGAAATCCTTGAAGCACAAGTAAAAGAACCTCAAGAAGCTAAAGAAGAAGAAATTCAGCAAGAAGCACCTCTAATCAATGAAAGGGATGGAGGATGAAACAACGGAACTGTCCATGAAGATGATAATGGTGAAGATGAAGGATCTGTTAATCTTAGAGGATGACAAAGAGCTGCAAACTGCACAAGGGTACCACTTGCACAAGCTAATTGTGGTTAGGTGGTCTAGAGATACATGTAGAACAACTCAAAGGTAATGGAGGAATAACTGAGGAATTTGAAATTGGAGCGTAACTTATAGGGTTGTTTGTGATGGATGAAGGATCCAGACCAGGAGGAAGAGGTGTCATTGGCGTAGGAGATGGATCACAAACTCGCTTGCAAGAGAAGACGAGAAGATCCTGAAAGCTAAATTACTGTAGCCGAAGTAGCAAAAAAGAGAAGAAGAAGAAGAAGAGATGCTGGAATGTCGAACTGCCCTGCTCAGTCGACAGTACTATTATTTATATTATGATGTAGTACAATGATATAGGAAGTTAGTAGAATGCCCCTGATTAGTGATGGGACACCCAGATAACTTAAAACATTAAACAGGATTAGGCCCATTAACAAAGGCCCAGTACAGGACAACTTAAACTTAAGTGTAGGCTAATAAGAACTCTTATCAGCCGAATACTCGTACATACAAAGACTTCAATCCAACAGATCCTTCTTAGTAGTGGATGATGGAGTATCCTGTGATTCAAAATCATGCAAAACTGAAACAGAGGGTGCAAATAACTTGGTAATTCCTGAAAAGAAAGGAGATATGCTCAAGAAAAATCACATTTTGAGAAATCCGAATGCGACGTGCTAAGGGATCATAAAAAAGGAATCCCTTGTGGTTAGGGCTATATCCCATAAAAACGCACATGAAAGATTGAGCTGAAAGTTTTGAACGTTCATGAGGAGGAAGATGAGATGAACAAAGCATAGACACCCAAAGACATGAAGATGGGAAAGATCTTGGGGGGATCCAAACATCTTCTGACGAGGAGATATGTTAGCAAGAATAGAAGATGGGATACAATTGATCAGATACACTATTGTGCTAGCGGCCTTTACCAGAATGTGGGAGGTGCATGTGACTCTTGTAGAAGAGTCCTTACAACACTGAGAATGTGGCCATTCTTTTTTTCTGCCACACCATTTTGCTGAGGAGTGCCTGGACAACATCATTGGACTTGTTGCCATGATGTTTTAGATAAACCAGAAATTCTCCGTCACTGTATTCTCCCCTTGATAGAAGATCTATAAATGATAGAAGATCAACCTCTAGTTACTGTACTTTTGTTGTAGGTAACCTTGTGACTTGGAGGAGTGAGAAGCAATTAATAGTGGCCCGGTTAAGTATTGAAGCTAAGTACTGAGCTATGGCACATGGTGTTACTAAGTTATTGTGGGTGAACAACTTGCTCTTGGAATTAGGACTTCCAATGACATGTCCTATGACCTTGTACTGTGATAATAAGGTGACCATTAGCATTGCATACGACCCAATTTTACATGACAAGACAAAATATATCGAAGTGGACAAGCATTTCATCATGGAGAAGTTAGAATTGGGTGATATTTGTATTCCTTGTGTTACTTCCTTGAATCAGTTGTCTGATGTTCTTACAAAGGAAATGTCTGCTTTATAACACAATGATCTTTGTAACAAGTTGGGAATGATCGATATTTATGACCCAACTTGAGAGGGAGTATTATTTATGTTATGTTTTCGTGTCAGGAGGTAGAATAGTCTTTTTTGCTCTTATTTGTGGTTGCCCTACAAAAAGTAAGGCATGGGCCTCATTTCATTCCTAGACTTCATTCCTATTCTTGTACAATATAGGACCTGGAACAACACTCAAAAGTGAGTGTTACCCTTGGATATTGTTCTAAGTCCCACATTGCATAGGAATGTGAACGAAGGCCTTGCCTAGGAGGGCAGTTCTCATACTTGAGTTGACCCATGTTGGCACATGCGTCAACTCATGAATATTTATATTTTAGAAAGTTTTGTATTTTATATAAAATAATAAATATTTAATATAAAATAAAATATACTTGCATATATATATAATATAGATATAATATATATCATATTAAGTATATATAATACATCATATAATATGTTATAATATAAAAATATTTTGTAATTATATATTATATATTTAATAATATATTATAATATATTGCGGGTTCAGCCGGGCCTGAAGTGTTGGGCCCAAGCATGGCCTGGAATTTTCTGTGCTTGATGGGGGCCCTGGCCGGGCCTGGAAATTTGCAGGTTGGGCCCCCTAGGGGCTGCAGCCCACTTTTGTCCTCCCAAACACTTTCTTCTCTTGATTCACTCTTTCACATTTTCTAGAAGATTAACTTACAAGATATAAATTTCCGAGAAATGAAGAAATCACCTAGAAAGATTCCATGTCGTAGTTGAGCATCTAGTATCTGATTAATGGGCAGTTGTCCAATAATATTAGCATAAGCTTGTAAATAAAGTGGTGACTACATAAAGACTAACTTTGGATTTTGAGATAATAAAATATGATTCAATTGATATTTAACACTTTTTCCTCATGACAACTGTGAGTTGTATTTACTTGCAGTCACTGGAGAAGACAAAATCCAGTTTCTTCACAATCAAAGCACAGCAAATTTTGAATGTCTTCATGAAGGCCAGGTATATTCTGGATTCTGATATTTCTTCTACATGATGTTCTGACTTCATTTGTATTCTGATCGGAAATTAGTCTTAAGGGTTCTTGATTAAAAATATGCAGGGGTGTGACACTGTTTTCGTTACACCAACAGCTCGGACAATAGACATTGCCCATGCTTGGATTATGGTAATGTTTGTCCAAGATTTCTTGGGTAATATTTGGTTTATCTGCACAAATACTATGTTAGCAATTACTTTGAAGGATCATTTATTAGTGTCAGATACTTCAATGTTTAGTATAAAGTCCATGTCTGACACCTTTTTCATTTCATGTCCTTGACATATGCCATATCTAGATAACATATAAAAAGAATGTTCTGTTGACCTATTACTATTAGCAATTTAGTAGATTATGAATTCTTATTAGATAGTATTTGTTTTGCTCACAGAAAAATGCGGTGACATTGCTGGTCTCACCTCTAACCTGCAAAAGCATAGCTGAAATGCTTATGAAGTATGCCCATTAAGAGATCTTCCTATTTAATATGTGCACATGAATTGGATTTACTTTTCATTGGCTTTTTACATTTCATTATTATTATGATGGAGTTGATTTGCATGGCACTATGCTACTTTGCCATTTTTTTTAATTTTTCCTTAGCTCCACTTTAGTGGGGTCGTAGAAGATGAAAAGAAACAAGGAAAAAAATAAACTTAATTACCACCCAGCCTTGAATAGAAAAATAAAGTATGCTTTTTTCTATTTAAAATCAAATAACCATTTAAAGTAGTTCATTGGAGAGTTCCAAGAGGTTGCTTGGAGCTAGATTCGGAAAGTTCAGGTTCCCTCCAAGATTATTTCCTTTGTTTGGGCTGCTTGATGGGATTGGATTCAGAATGTGGATGTTCTGTTGGAAAAAGGGATGAACATCAGTAATATGTTCTGCCTATGTGCAGAGTCACCTGTGTCAGATGACAGTTTACTTATGCACTGTCCTTTTGCCCATTTGATTGGAGCCATTTCCTTAAGATCTTTTGTAGACAGTTGGTGTTTTGGCAGTGGCTGAGCTACTATCTTCTTGGAGAGTGGGTGGATTTTTCTGCTAAAGGGAGAATTTTATGGTATCAGTTCCCTTTTCTGCTGGGTTCTTGGAAGGAGAGGAATAATAGGGTGTTTCAAGGGAAAAGTTCTTCTCATGAGTCATGAGGAGTTGCCATGCAAAATGGAATGGTCTCTAATTTGGTGAGGTAGAGTGTTGCACCATTTTTCTGGTGTTAAAGTTGAGTCCTTTAAGCAAGATTGACTTTCTGTCATTTTTTATGTTTTTTTCACATTATACATGCTTTAGTGATATAGTATTTTGTAAATCCTCCTTTGTGGATGGACCCTCCTTAAAGTAATACAATACTGTTTTTTTTTGATAGGTAAAGAGTCATATTCCATTAATTCAAAGATTGGTTACATGAAAATCCCCTTAGAGGCACGAGGTGCTGCCTCTCCATACAGAAAACACAAAAACTACATCAAAATGTGCATGACTGTTAAAAGGACACATATTACAGTTGCACCCAGAACAAATTTTCCCTGTTTGTCCTTTGTTTTGCCAAAACATCAGCAAATGCATTATCTGATCTCCCAACCCACTGTACTGTTGCAGACATATTTCTTGTCAGCCATTTGAATTTCTTTATCTCATTCTTGTAGTCTCACGTGACATCCTCCGGATTATTTAATCAGTTCACCACTGTCTTAAAGTCCCCTTCAACCAGAAGCTGCTCCACATCCATTTCTTTTGCAAGAATTACTCCTTGTATTGCAGCTAACAGCTCTGCCCGAATAGAGTTCCCAACACCTAAAGGGTCAGAGTATAATAAGACAGCCTCTCCAGCCTCATTCCTTAGAACAGCCCCCAATCCAGAGGGACCCGGGTTGCCCTGGCTACTTCCATCAAAATTCAGCTTCAAAGAACTGTGAGGAGGGGGGAACTAGCTTGTCATTACCTTTATCTTGGATGAGGAACATGAAGGGATGGGATATCCATCACATGGATGCCCAAATCCTGCGGAATAGATAGGGCGAATTTCAAAAAAATTTTTCTCCCATCTTTGCAAAGAATCGAATTCCCTATTTCAGAAAACATATTTTCAAGGATCAATCTTGAA